GTATTGAAGGTGATGAAGAAAAGGTGGGTTTTTTATGGGAATTGGAAGGAGCAAAACAGAGGCTGAAGATTTTCCAAGCTGATCTAACGGTGGAAGGAAGCTTTGACGATGCAGTGAACGGTGTCGATGGAGTATTCCACACGGCTTCTCCTGTTCTTGTTCCACAAGATCATAACATTCAGGAGACTTTGGTTGATCCAATCATAAAGGGTACTACCAATGTGATGAACTCTTGTGCAAAGTCCAAAACTTTGAAAAGGATTGTTCTTACATCTTCTTGCTCTTCGATTCGGTACCGTTTCGATGCCACGGAAACCTCTCCGCTCAACGAGTCGCATTGGAGCGACCCTGAATACTGCAAACGCTTCAATGTAAGGAAACATTTATTGAAATGGCTCTTTAGACCAAGGCATTAGTCTAGTGGTGGTTTGTACTAGTGTTGTTAAGGTATCGATGTTCGGGTTCAAATCCGGTAATGATGGTGTGTGTTTGAATTGATGCGTAGCTTTGGTACGGATATGCAAAGACTCTAGGGGAGAGAGAGGCTTGGAGGATAGCTGAAGAGAAAGGGTTAAACTTGGTGGTTGTGAATCCTTCATTTGTGGTTGGTCCATTGCTTGGACCAAACCCCACAAGTACTCTTCTTATGATCCTCGCCATTGTCAAAGGTCTTGCTGGAGAGTATCCGAATTTCACGGTCGGGTTTGTGCATATAGACGATGTAGTTGCTTCACATATATTAGCCATGGAAGAGACTAGAGCATCGGGGAGAATCATATGTTCGAGTTCGGTTGCTCATTGGTCTGAGATCATTGAGTTGCTAAGAAAAAAGTATCCCAATTACCCATTTGAGAACAAGTAAATCTCATTCTCGATAGATTTCGTAGTCAAGACCAATTGGTTTGTTTGGTTGGTTGATTGATTCTTTGTATGTTTTCAGGTGCAATAACAAAGAAGGGGACAATACTCCGCATAGTATGGATACAAAGAAGATACATAAGTTGGGATTTGCATCCTTCAAGTTACTACCTGAGATGTTTGATGATTGTATCCGCAGTTTTCAGCAGAAGGGTCTGCTCTGATTACATACATTTCCATCAATCGTATTGTCGATTTCTAGATTGTGAAGTTTTTTTATATGGATTGAAACTCTAGCATATATAGTAACTGATTACATTATAAATTCAATAAGATGGTTTTGATCAATCACTTGTTAGAATCTTACAGATTTATTTAAGCATTAGCAAATGATCAAAGTGATGGTTTTCAATTGTACATGAAGAAGGTTATAATCAAGATAATGCCATGAAAAAAAAATCGTACTTGAATAAAGCAGTTCAAATCAATAAATCAAACTATGAAAACGCTTTAAAATCAAATTAAGTTAATTAACACATGCCATGACTAATGTACCAGAATCCATCAATCCAAGTCTGAACCACTAAATTATCCAAACCAAATTTAAACAGGACTTGAATTTCAAAAAACCGAACCTAATGAACCGAAATTCATTAAAATCAATATTTATCATCAAATCAAATGTGTCTTTTATTGAAGTGTTTTCTCATCAAACGTTGTCTAGCCCATGATTAGGCCCATTAATAAGTCAAACTTAAACCTCTGACTGAGAGACCACCAAAACACAGCAGTACATGACTGAATGCAAATCTGATTTTACGTATATGTTATGTGACACAACAATACATAGAGCAGCATGCTACGAGGTCCCTGAAGTTCGTTGTGGAGTTCGTTGTCCAACCGGTGAAGCAAAGAATTACTCTGAGTTACTCCTTTTCTTCTCTTGTATAAAATGCACATTGAGGTGTTTTCACAATAAGAGACTTAAGTCGTTTATATTGTTTCCGGATTTAGGTTTGCTCCGAAACTAGAGATTGACGACTCTTGGAACATGCAAAGTG